CATGTTTGTATGGCTTTTTTTGGGGGGGATTGCTGATTGGTGTAAGAAGGCCTAGCCCAGTGTGGCCCTTGGAGAGGTGGGCCGGGACTATATAAAAACATAGCTGAATACAGGCTTGGGAGTAAGGCAGTCAGCAGTTCTCTCTATGGTCTCTGCTTTAGTTCTGTCTCTGGGTTCTCCATGGGCCTCTGCCCTGACTCCGTTTGATGATATGAGGGTCCACGATAGCTCTTTGAGAGGGGCATGGTGCATGGACACAGAAATGGCAGGTCTTGGGTTTACAAAACAGGCTTGTGCAGAGTGGTCAGAGCGTCGGTGTCCATGCTGTCTGCCTTACCTTCTCACCACTTGGACAGAATGTCTGACAAAAACAACTAAGAAGCCAAAAGATCTCTTGGCTCATAGTCCACTGTGGGGTGGCAGGGGCATGAGGTGACTACCTCCCTCCACGTGACCCCACCTCCTAAAAGTCCCACAGCCTCTCACAGCAGTGCCACACGTACAGATAAGGTGCTCAAACACACGAGCCTACTAAAAGACATTCCGTGCTCAGAGCACAGCAGGGCCATATGCTCAGTGTCTCATGGCCTGCAAGCCATCCTCGTCACAGCCCACTGTGGGGAGCTAGGGCCTTCATGGCTCATGGGCTGCTGCAGGGGATGTACCCTGAAGCACTTGCTGCTGTTCAACACCAGACACTATTTTCTCAAAATTTAAAGAAATACAAATGAAATGCAGCAGTGGGCTCTGCTGTTAAACCATGTCATAGCCAGCATCAGCTGTCCACTTGACACAAACCTAGGGTCACCTGGGAAGAAGGCACCTCAAATTGCCTCCATCAGATTGTCATGTGGGTATGTTTGTGTGGGATTTTTTATTTGTTGATGGATGTAAGAAGGCCTAATCCAGTGTGGGCTGTGCTGCCCTTGAGCCTTGGAGAGGTGGGCCTGGACTATATAAAAATGTAGCTGAATACGGGCTTGGGAGTAGACCAGTAAGCAGTTCTCTTCTGTGGTCTCTGTCCTGACTCCCTTTGATAATGTAAGACGAAATAAACCCTTTTCTCCCAAGGCTGCTTTTTGTCATGGTGTCGTATCACAGTAACAGAAAGCATATTAGGACATCCATCATGGAAGAGAAACCCGGAACCTGTTTCTGGGGCATAGTCAGTGTCCACATGCGAAACGGGGTGCCCAGCAAAGGGATTACACAAAACCAAAAGCCATGACTATCCACAAAAAGAGACGGGGTGAGTAATTCCTCCAGTAAGGTTGCATAACCTTATGAGGTATAAGCTAGCAGACCAGACTGCTGGGGGATCTTGAAGGTTATGCGTACCTCAGGCTCTGGCTCAATTGCTCTGTGCTCTATTCAACAGGATGTGAACAAGCTGTGCCAAAAGCTTTCAGTGCCATGGACCAACCTCTCAACTCCGTGCCAGTCCCATCATGATACACACTGTGCTCTCTGCACTGTGATACAAAACTCGCCCTTCCTCAAGCCGCAGTGTCACAGGGGAGAGGATGGTGGCCACTTCAGCTGCCTAGCTGGAAGGCCAGCTCTCCTCTTCTTTCTTACCATGTAACCTATCTCTGTTAGCCTTAATGCAGGCAAGACCCTCACCTGTCCCAGATGAGCCTGACATGCTGAAATACTTAGTCCTTCCACAAATGCCTGGACATCGGAATGAATATGTATGAAGTAGAAGCACCATACATGCATAGGGTTGCCGATACGGCAGATAAGGTATCGGCCTTCAGGACAAGCAATCTCAGAGGCTGAGAGGACATGCTAGAGAGTTCAGGGACAGAGGAATTACCAGAGAAAAGGGGCAGATCTGCAGAAGTGGTGCTGAGAAGGCAAGGATCCCCTGCTGGACACCAGGAGAGCCTGGAGAGTAGGTGGGGAATCGACTGTGACCGAGCAAGGCCAGGGCCCTGGCAGTCTGAAAGGTAGGCTGGTCAGGCAGGGAAGCAGCTGCAGGGGCCGCTGTGAAGCCAGGGGCATCAACATGGTAAGAGAGCCAGGCTGGGCCCTGGGGAGTGTTCACACAGTTCGGGCTTAGAGCCTATTTTCTGTGCTGTCCAGCCATAGAAGCAGAGTCCCAGACATATAGCTTCAGAAAGGAAGTTCTCTTTAGTCACTAATTTGGATAAACTGTGCACATGTGTGAATTGACTCTTGGCCCCATCTTTGCCACTTGAGCATAAAAGCTTTTTAGCAAATTCACACATTCCTTCACCTCTGTTTCCCAAAACTGTTAATCATTCCTCTTAACTGTTCAGTATCACTTGATCTAATAGTGGTGAGAGCTCTGGGCAATGTCTTCAGGGTTAGGAAACAAGTACCTTGCATGTTTGCTAATTATGTCTAAAGAAGCCCTTGGCCTATGTTTCAGTTGCCTGCCAGGCTGTAGGCAACTCTTCCTTGCATTGATATGTAACTCAACAATGCTAAGAAGAGCAGGAATGTGTACATTATCTAATGGGGGTATTAGCATGCTCCCTTCAGTGTCTACTGACAGGAAGGGACCCAGCCATGCCTTTGCAACAGGGTAGAGGACACGAGGTGAAGACGGTCCAGTACTTGGCAGCTGTAGGAAGAGCTCACAGGCTGAGGTCTCTCACACTGGAAGTGTGGCCAGGACCTTCACTAATGCAGGGTGGCAGCCACAGATACCTAGCTTGTAGGTTCCCTCCAGTGCCACCCAGAGTAGCCCTTGACAAGCCACCAACACTCCCTGGGTCTCCTGCTCTTCCTATATGAAACAACACTGCTCCCTGCCTGTGTCTCTACAAGCTTGCACAATAAAACAGGCTGGTCTCTGCATTCACTCTGGGCTTCCATGTGCGCTGGCCTCCACCTTTTTGAGAACAGTAGCCAGGTGCTGAGGGCCTAACTCAACATGTGGGGATAACTGTAGGTCAGACCTTAGGCAGAGGGAGAGTCACTAGAGGAGCCTTGTGATTTGCCCAGTCTCCTCATAGCTTGGAGTTGAGCCCCACATGCCGGCAGACCTGGAGACCAGCCCAGCAGAGGCCACTGTTGGGACAAGCCCACAGGTGCACTTGTCAAAGGGCCAAAGCCTGGGAGCTGACGGGAGCATCATTTAGTCCTTCAGATGCAGGATTCACAAGTGCAGCCGTGTGCTTGGTTTCATCTTGAGGTTGAACTGTTTGAGCTGTTCACTCCTGGCACCTGCTTATTTCCTCCCAAAGCAAAATCTTCCTGGTGGTGGAGAAACAGTTCCCTCCGTGCCCACTTCCTACTTTCAAGCATCACTTGGCTATCAAAGGAAGAAGTGCCTTTCCAGGCCATCCAGGAGTCCCCGAATGGCAGGGATTTCTGCACACACATATGCATTTTTTCCTTACTCTGTAAGGTACCCTTTCTATCCAACAGCCACTGTCTACTTTCTGGGTTAATCAGTAAATTTTGGAAACACACAGAAGTGTCTTTCTCGTCCACATGAAAACATGCCAGTGTGACACACAACCAGTCATTTGATCACTTCACTCACGACACAGAGAGGCTGCTTACATGAGACTGTGCCTGTTCTCATAGGGCTGGGAAGGGGTATCTGATGAGCTCAGGAATTGGCTCCTACACAAGGAAGGGAAAGCCCTCAATCCAGGGCTCTAAAGGGTTCTCTAACTCAAAAATGCACTGTGTGCGCAGTTCAAACTCTGTAGGAAACATGGAAGAAACAGGAGTCCAGGCCAACCTTGGTGCCTTGTGAGCCAAGCTGAAAGAAAGACAGATGCAGCACTAAAGCAGAAAGAAAAGGAGACAGGAGAAAATCAAGCCCAGGTTTGCCTGGCAGTAAAGTTCTCGTAACGCTTAACCAATTGCCTATAAGAACTACCCTCCAGAAACCCCCAGGGAGAAGGTTTCCAGAGGAACATGGCTGACAGTCCCAAGAAGTAGCCCACAAACGTGTGACTTTTGAAGAGCAAGGCTGAGAAGGCCCTTCCTAACCTTCCAGCATGGAGTGCCTCCTGAGCTCGCCCCAGTGGTTAATGTAAAGTAAGCCTGCCTTTACTACAGAAAGCAGAGAACCCTGTATGCTTCTGTGCTGCCCAACGTTCAAAGCATTGAATACTCTTCAAACAAAGCCCCTTCTATTGCTGCCTGGAAGCTGGGGCCCAACTAGGAAAAGGCTTTCTCTGCAAAAGTGACCTGTGACCACAGAAGGCTAGTTCTTGCTCATCCATTTAACCCAATACCATGTTTATTTCTTTGGACCCTGGCTTCTCCTGTCACTCTGTCCCCTCTGGCTGGTCACAGCTAGCCCCACAGTACACGGCACACCCAGAACTCTGCTTTCTATATATTTCTACTGTCCCAAGATAAGCATAGTTTGGTGAGGGGACAGCATTGGTTTGCCTGAACTGAAACTGCTTGGGAAAGTTTCAGGACTCCTTTGCATGGTGGTTGAAAATCCTGTTCCCACCAGCATTCTCCTGCCAACCTACCCCCTCTTTCTTTCATAATGAATCCCCCACCCCCAACACAGGTATATCTGTGTTCAGATGGGACATCCACACAGGGACAACACAGGTGTAAGGGTAAGATGGGTCAAAAGCCACATGTGAACATGTAAACAGAGGGAGCAGTGCTCCTTCCCAACTTTCTCAACTCTACATACTACTGACGTACATGGTACTCGCATGTCTGACGGGCATGAATGAGCTCTACAAAGCTCCAGGATGCTCCTATGTGGTCCAGCACTTTACAGGAGAAGACAATCAGAGCCATGAGAGACTGTGCTAACCTTGGTGGGAACTGTGCACGGGGAGTGCAGGTCTGCTGCCCAGCTCTATGCTGACTGGCGCCAGAACTCAGATCCCAAATGCAGCCCAAGCAAAATTCATCCCCATCTTTGACCTCTCTTTTTCTTTCTCCCAACCCAGTCAAACAGGAAGAGCTGATTTACTTACATATAACCCAACGACAAACTCCCAAGTCAAAAGAAAATGCTGGGCCAACGCGAAGCTTACCCTGCCTCAGGAGTTCTAGAAGAAGCGCTTTGGTGCTCCCTGTGGCCTCTTGGCTTGCTGCTGCGGTTTTCAGAGTTGCTCACGTGTCCTGTCCCCAGGGATGTCCTACTGTGGGCATGAGCTGTAGGGCCATCCTTGTACCCATTCAATAGGCCTTGGCCAGCTCGGGACCCTGTCCTTGTTGACTTGCATCGCTCTGATTTGTCCTCACGTGGTGCTGCGGCATCTCGGGCTGGTTTGTATCCATGAGAAATCAGAAGATCTTCCACACTATACATGGTGTAGCGTCGTCAAACCTCACGAGCTTGGACCATCATGGTGGTAGCACCCATTACTGAAAAGACAACAAAAAGCTGCACTTATGAATAGTCCCTTCCCTGTACCAAGTGGACACCCACCCTCCCCAGCATCCACGTGGAAAAGATGTACTTGCTGTACCGCCCAATACCAGCATCAAGGTCCTTCCAGAAGAGGCCAGCAGGGTGCAACACTGTACAGCAAAAAGTGCTGCCACACCTGAGTCTTACTCTTTGATGCCAGTCTTTTAGTGCGCTGGAGACAAAGGCAGGAGGTGTTCAAGGCTTGCGCAGGATAGATGTCTAGACCTTGTTTGAAAAGGATGGGATGTCCTCACATGGTGCTTAGGTTCACCTTGAGAACTTAGAATCCTCCTGCCTCCAGTTTTCAACCACTGGAATCACTACTGGCATGTGCTACCAGACCAGCTTGGGTCCATTTAAAACTTGTGTCTCAAATCTTTTCCAAATGATTTTGTACAGTTTTCCATCTCTCATCCAAGGGTGGCTATAGACAAATTTGGCCTGGAGACCAGCATATTTAAAGGCTTACCCTATGTTAATGACTAGACCAGTGGTTCTCAGCCTTCCCAATGATGAGACTCATTAATATAGATCCTCAGGTTGTAGCCACCCCAAACATAAAATTATTTTTGTCGCTATTTTGTAACTCTAATTTTGCTACTGTTAAGGATTATAGTGTAAATATCTGTTTTCTGATGGTCTTAGGAGACCCCTATAAAAGGGCTATTCAACCCCTAAAAGGGTCACAACACACAGGTTGAGAACCACTGGACTAGAGGCAAGAAGACCAAAGAGGGGAGAATGAAGAGGTCCAGTGATTTCAGAGCATGTGGGGCTGCCAGTCACCAAGACTGGGTATAGCCCTGGCCTGGGCACCATGGCTCGGGGAGCTCCGTCCCCAGCCACTTCACTGGTGGAGGGAAAGGAGTCTCTGTGGCCACAGAACAATGGCCAAGAAATGCATGCTGGTCAGCATGCGAGTGTGAGAACGATACCTCATGTTCTGCCAGTGGAAACTCTCCTTGGGTCTCTGCACTGTTCTGCTGACCATTGAACAATGTCACCCATTGGAACACACAAGCAGAGCCATCTCTGTGGCCAGCTTGGGGATGATCACACTTTGTAGGTCTACAACTGTCCATGGTGTCTGTCTAGTTTTTGAAGGCTGGAAAGCTTTGAAAGTTAGTATCCTCATGGAAAAATTCTTGCCACCATTCCTGGCACCACTTTATGGTTTGGGGGGAGTCGCCAAATGGGCCATTCACATATATAGCAAAGAGGGATTGTGGGAACAAATCTAAGTTCAAGTCAACTTAGCAAGGACCTTGGCTAAAGACTAGAGAGAAGGGGTCGAAGCATACTTCAGGCTGTGTAACTGTGGGATTTAGCCAAAGATTTTTGCTGGCTTCATCCCCAGCATCCCCAACATTCAGCACTTAATATGCTTCCTGGGGATGCTTGTTGAATGGACACATGAGTAAGAGAAGGCCGCCGGCCAGCACACTGCTTTGAATAGTTAGGAGTTAGACAGATACACTGCATAGGTCAATACAGGAGTGGGAAAGTTGGAATTTAAGCAGACTCTAGGCATGATGACCTCAGGAGTAAAAGCATGGCATAGAGACAGACACCTGGTGGCCCGAGAGTCTTCATCTTCATATGGAGATGCCTGTACAGTAGCTCTTCCTCACAAGACTTCCATGTGTCTGGTAAATCAGCCCAACCCCTATGTACCTACAGTTATATTCAGAAAACCCTCAATGGGACAACAACCCACACTAAAGCATATGCCTTTCAGAAGAGATCCAGCTTCATCAAAGCCAGAGTGACCTCAGATGACTGAGATCAAGGGACTCTGACATCGGAAGTCTTACCAGTCTTCCTCTCTGGGGCCTGCAACTCACAGCGAGTGAGAGTAGAAAATAGGCTTCAGTGTGCAGGGTGGAGCCAAGGGCCTACCCACAGGCCTTACCCATAACCCTGAAGGCACCACCACCTTCAGGTTCATGGAAGACTTATGCCCTTTAGCTACACTCTTCACTGCTACCCAGTTTAGCTTAGCCTCTGAATCATCTCCACATCCGTGTGAGCACTGACCCCTCTCCTCATAGGTTCCTTTACACTATTATTCTGACACCTGATGTGTTTGTCTGGCTTCTTTGATGTCATCATTCTCATTTACAATGGGATGGGCTGAATCAAGAGGTAGCAGGTCTCCACTATAAACACATTATTGTAGTAGCCTCCAAGATAGACCAATGAGGTGTTGAAGAAGGGGCTCAGGCACCCAGGGAGTTTGCATTTCCTTCTAGTTCTGGAATACCAACATTGCAGGCTGGTGGCATTCAATACTATCCCTCATGCACCACTCGAGGTGGCTATAAAAACTAATACATGACAAAAACTGACCTACACCGAGGCTCTCACTGTCATCAAAGCTGTTTTATAACCTGAAAAGTTGAGAGTATAGTTAAACAACACAGCATTAGACATGCTCCAGGGCCTGGCAAGCTACCCTTTTCAGGTGTGATCCTTGAAGTGGGTGAGGAACCACCCCAAGCTTTTCTACATGCAAACGGCAGCAAACAATCTTCCCAGCTTCCTGGACTGTTCTCAAAGCCAATAAGAACACATATACATCAATGCAAACATCACAGACAGATGCTATGCCACACTGTCAATTTTCACCATGTGCCTTTGCCATTTTTGTCTCTTTTGGTATCATTTGGTGAGTTGCTTGTGATTTCCAACCTCATCCTTACTTGGTGTCACCGCATACTGGATACTCAGCTTCTCCAAGTATCCAAGAAGAGAATATTGCTTTGTAAGAAGGAAACATTAAGAAATATTTCCTAGGAGCACAGAATCCACCAAGCTTTGAACTAATAATGAAGAACACACATTCACTCTGTAAGGATCTTGCTGTCTTGCTGGACAGACAGTAGGAAAGCAGACAATTAAAACTAGGCATATGTGTGTCAGAGACATGATAGGAGCCTGCCACCTCCCACCATGGGGGGTCATAGTTCCATGACATGGTTGAAGACATGATGACTGTAAAGAGACCTTATCCAATCTCAAAGGATTGAGAAGGCATCTGGAAGATTCTCTCTTAGTCAACCCAAAACACTGCCCAGGATGTAGTCGGTATTATTTTGCAACCAGTCCATTCAATACACTTCTTCCTATCAGGCCTGGTGGCTCATTCCTCAGCACCCAGGAAACTAAGACAGAAGGCCTGTCCCAAGATTAAGGCCAACCTGGGCTATCTAGCAAATTTTGGTCAGCTTGTGATACAGTCTTGACTCCTATCTCAAACAAACAGAAAAAAAATTATTTCTTTTTTCTTTTTTTGACTTATAGTAGGGTTTGAGTGTGAGATATCACTCACAGGCTCTTGTGTTTTGGACACTTTTCTCCAATTGTTGGTGTTATTTTGAGTGGCACTGTGGGGTCTGTAAGGAATAAGGAATAATATGGAGTGAGTCCAGTGTGTTATAGCACCACCCATTTCTGGCTAGAGTGCTCTGTTCCCTGACCAACTATGACCCTTGTGTACCTGCGGGAGCCCCTGTGGCTGCATGCTGTCACTGCTGTGGTGGAATGAACTCTGTGGAGCATGGGTCAGATACTCTTACTTAGGTCACAACAATGAGATAAGTAACTAATACATTTTGCTACATTTGTTTTCTTGGATTAAGTGTTCATATGGAAATCTCTAAGACGATGATCAAGACAGCTACTAGGTCATGACCTACTAAATCACTTCACAAACCACTAGTTTGGAGAACAGCATGTGGACGCCATCCCTCTGATGGTCAGGGTGCAAGGCAATGATTTCCCAGGTATGTTCAAAAGTGCTATTACTCTACGAGAAATTCCTTGGCCTAACAAGTCCCTTGCTGTCCTCTCAACAGCAATAGAGTTGTTCCACATACCCAATCTGTCTTTAATGGAAGGTACAGCTGCCACATGCTGCTGCTTTTCTGATTTTTAGAGCATGCCTAGAAACAGTACCACCACCACCACTGTCCCTCCTCACTCTGAGGGGACACACTACAGCTTGAAGCTGAGGGTCCCTGACCACCACTGACCAGCACACCCATGTAGCAGAACCTACTTCACTCTGATGTCTGCTTTGTGTGTCTGCATCTGTTGGGCTTTTCTGTTCCAACATTCCTTGAGGGACTGAGTCACAATGGGGGCTGACCATCTAGTGAAGGGACTTGTGTCCCAGGGACCCTGTCATTGGGGCCTGGGGGTCCAGCTGTCTCTCATCTCAGAGAGAAGCAATTATACACACTCTGCTTCAGCAGCTGAGGTGGAGTGGGCGTGTGACATCAGAGAGACCCATGCTTTCCTGTGTGAGGTGGCCTTCAGATGCAAACTTCAATTTCCCATAGGTAAAGGATCTGCCACTGATCCCAGGAGAATGGGAGGATGTAACTTAGTCACTGCTGCTAGGCTCTGAGACATCCCCATGTAGATGAGAAGAATCAGGGTGATCCAACAAGGACAAGCTGGCTTAGTGAACTCCTCATGGGGCCTTCAGCCACGTGCCCCGTCCCTAGTTTGCTCTTGCACAACTTGGCCTACGCCAAACAAGCCTCTCACTAAAACAAACGCTGTAAGGCAGCATACACAAAGAAGAGAAACTGAATCTGTAATAATTCTCTGCTCTTGTATAAAAAGTTTTATGCTGAGCATGTAATTAATATTCTAAGAATAGTTAAGATAATGGAAACTATGGGAATTTCATTCCTGTTTTCTATACATGTAAAACTTAGATTTTAAAGGCTGCTGTAGCAAGCTGGAGAGATGGCTTGTCAACTAAGAGCACTGATGGCTCCCTCACTCTGTGAGGGCACACTGCAGCTTGAACCTGAGGGTTGCTTACCACCACTGACTGGCACATCCAGCATGCAGCCTCTTCTGGAGGACCTGGCATGGTACACATGTGGTGGAGACATACATGTGGGCAAAACACTCGTGGACATAAAATAAAAATAAGTAA